GCTATCACTATACCCACCTATAGTCCCAAGAAACTAATGTACAATTCTCAACTTTGATTACTTTCTAGAATCAGTGCTCTGGAACACATACAGGACCTTAGCTCAAAGAATACTATCACACAGACTACGCTGATGGCCCCCCTTACCCTGACAGTGGGAGGGTGGGAAGCACTGTTATTGTAAACCAGACAAATGGCACTATAATATAGAGGTATATTAGAATTAATAACTGGGTTTACACCTTAAAAATTTAGTTGTTTGCCATACTCAATATTACGATCGCACACAATATAATTGTAACTGACTCTCTTTTCTCCCTACTTTCTCTAAATAGCCTGAGACTTGAATGTAGCATGCTTGTGAGTGAAGTCAGGCATATATATATATATATATATATATATATATATATATATATATATATATATATTATATATATATATATATATATATTTATATATATATATATATTATATTATTGTAACCATGAACGAATGGTATTTAATCAATAAAAATACTGCGACTAGCCGGGGATTCGAACCCATGTCGTTTTGGCCCGCCTCATGGTGAGCGAAAATCACATGATGCTCTAACCCACTGGACACTCAATCCTGCACCCAACAGAGCTTGGTGTTTTACCGTGATCCTCGGCTAGTCGCAGTGTTGTATATATATATATATATATATATATATATATATATATATATATATATATATATATATATATATATATATATTTGTAGGTAGTAGGTTGGTAAACAGCAACCGCCCAGGGAGGTACTACCGTCCTGCCAAGTGAGTGTAAAATGGAAACCTGTAATTGTTTTACATGATGGTAGGATTGCTGGTGTCCTTTTGTCTGTCTCATAAACATGCAAGATTTCAGGTACGTCTTGCTACTTCTACTTACACTTAGGTCACACTACACATACATGTACAAGCATATATATATATATATATCCCTCTGGGTTTTCTTCTATTTTCTTACTAGTTCTTGTTCTTGTTTATTTCCTCTTACCTCCATGGGGAAGTGGAACAGAATTCTTCCTCCGTAAGCCATACGTGTTGTAAGAGGCAACTAAAATGCCAGGAGCAAGGGGCTAGTAACCCCTTCTCCTGTATATATTACTAAATGTAAAAGGAGAAACTTTCGTTTTTCCTTTTGGGCCACCCCGTCTCGGTGGGATACGGCCGGTGTGTTGAAAGAAAGAAGATTATATATATATATATATATATATATATATATATATATATATATATATATTATATATATATACATATATATATATAATATATATATATATATATATATATATATATATATATATATATATATATATATATATATATATATTCCTTGCTGTACTGTGTACAATAACTATATGAAGTAATTGTAAAATACAAGATGATTAATATTCCTTCCTAGCGATGTAACAATACTCATGGGGTCTGACAAAGACCCATTGTGACCTCTGCAATCCTAGTTTTCTTTTTTTGCGCTACCGCTCACAGGATGAGAATGGAGGTGTACAATAAACTAGCCGCTCAGGCAGCACTACTGCTGTTTGTTTCTTGGTTGACACTCATTATGTGCCTGAACCACGGGAGTATTTCGCCGGTACTCTGAGGGATAAGTGCAATCGTGAGCCCTGTAGAGCTACCGGAGAGTCAAAGTTGAATCTCCCCCGCCAGTTCAATACACACTATGAAAATTGTCGGAAGTGCAGCTTATTTCCACTGGGAATGGTTCAGGTACTCTGAGAACTCACAGCATCATGGACTTTAGCAATGCATCATTGTCATTTAGTATTGTCGAAGACATTCTTCATGTTAGTAACCCAGGAAAAACCCAAGATAACCAACAATTTGGCTTATTTCCGTTGGGTCCTTCGGTCCCTCCACCTCTGACCTACAATAGCCGACAAACATCCAAGCATTTGTTTACTGTTAGGTGGACAGGGGCAGCTAGTGTAAGGAAATTTGCTCATACGTCTCATGTCCGAAAATTGATCCATAATCTTCTCAGTTGTGAGTCTAGAACTCTTAAACAAAATCACATGAAGTGATCTTTAAAATTTTAATCGGTGAACAGGTAAGCCAGAGGAAGGCCTCTGTCATATGACCAAAAGCTCCAGTTAGCGGGTTATCATATGACTAAGACCTGTGTCAGAAAACACGCATTGATGAAAATAATACCTCCACCACCTAGCGCTCTACCAGTGAGCTCTTTTCAACGCTGAGACACCTCTTGACAATCAGGTTACCGGATATAGGAGTAAGCATTAGTGAGGATATAGAAGGTATTGTTTAACATAGCTGACGTCAACTGTGTTTCCCATCCTCCTCAAGTAATGGAGTTCTTTCCTGGAAACTCTTGGAGAGCGATATGCTTAAGCTTAAGGGAAGCACTGACTAGAGAAGTGTCCGCAAGGTCAACGGCTTGTACACCAGACAAAAAGACTATCCTGGTCAACACTAGGCCACTGTACGAAGTCCTTTCCCATATGTTTCCAAAGCTTCCTGTTCTGAACCGTCCCTCCTGACATGATGGCCCGTATGCCCTGGTGTATCTACTCGAACATTATGTCTCCCTCCCACTTTCCTTTTAGCATAGATGAATGAATTAAGAAGACAAATTTGTGAAAAGCATTCATGATTGATAATTCACAGATAAAACTGCATCTATCGACAGCAAAGCTTTAACAGTAAATAAAATATGCATACAAACTGTAGCTGTGGTACCAGTGGTGGCACGCCCCCACACAGACTGAGACCTACGATGAAGGTCCCAATCTCAAAACTACAAGATCCCGAAGTCATCATACGTACTTATATAATCACTATTGTCCCTTTCTCGTGCTCTTCGTCCCCTCTCTCTCCCTTTGGACAAGTTTTCTACAGGAAATGCCGGAGCAGCTAGGTTATGGCTATACAGTCAGCAACCGTCTGATTGATCAGGCGGGCTGCATGGAAGCATGAAGACCGGTCTGCGAGAGTATGTCACAGGTACAATATATGTTTAGAAGGGCATCAACTCTTAAAACAACACGAATACCAAATAATTCAAATCCCTATATAAGCTGCACTGTAATATATTTGTGACTGAATTCATGTCTGCAAAATAACTCATTACGATTATAATCAGGTATAAATATGTAAACAGTTCTTTATCACAGTAACTTGCCTAGCTATCAAAACTTTGGGGCCTTTTCCTGCACCCATTGCCTGTCCATGTATTCTTTTGATTGCCGTCCACCGAATGGGTATAAGGTGCACAATAAAGATCTTATACTAAATACACAACAGAAACACACAACACATATACACAGCAGACACACACCACACAAACACAGCAAAAACAAACGCCACAGAACACAACAAACACACAACAGAGGCACGAAACAAAAATAAAAAGCGAACAGCACACAACGCAAACAAACAAAACACAACAGACGCATAAGACAACACAGACACGCAACACCACATACAAAACATAATACACAACACAAATAACACACAATAATACATACAGAACGCAATATAGACAATCACCACAACAGAAACAATACAAACCACATAATACAAACAGGAAACACAAAACAAATATACAGGACAACAGAAACAATCACACACAGAAAAGACAAACACAACACAGATAAATAACACAACAGGCATAAACGCAACACACAAAACAATACAGCATGTACAAACACAACATAAACTGACACAATAAAACAGACACAAACACAGCAAAAACAACACAAACAAAAAGCAAAAGCAACACAAACGCAACCCAAGTGAACCCAACACAAACAAAACACGACACAAACAACATAACATTAAAATCCTATTACAAAAAACACAAGACAGCTACACAGAACACAACACATGACACATAATACAGACACCTAATACAACACACCAGTCACTATAACAGGCACACAACACAAACAGAGCAACAAAGATAGATAAAAACAATCCGTAACACATTAGGCACCACAGTCAACGCAGTATAACCACGTAACATCTCACGTAATTCAGAAACAAATCAAACCTGTTCACACACTTAGTATTATGCTCAAGACACCAATAATATCCTTACACACACACACACACACACACACACACACACACACACACACACACACACACACACACACACACACACACACACACACACACACACACAAATCACATACACAAATCACACACACACAAATCACATACACACAAATCACATACACACAAATCACATACACACAAATCACATACACACACAAATCACATACACACACAAATCACATACACACACATCACACATACACAAAAAGCACACACACATATTTTGAGAATACACACACACACACACACACACACACACACACACACACACACACACACACACACACACACACACAGAGTCTATATGAGATGTCAGCAAGTATTCAATCTCAATGTGGTCGGTAAGTGGAACGGTCTCGACGAAGTAATAAGGCAGGCTCCATACATTGTTTTAAGAGCAGGTACGATAGGGCCCACGAGCTAAAAGGGAGTGAATCTGAAGAGTGGGAAGTTAAGCAGGGCCAGGATCTAAGAATCAACCTTAGCAGCCACAAATGGGTGAGTACAAAACAGTCAGGTGTATATTGACAATAACCTTTAAGAGAGGATAACTAACGCACACTTAGTGCCACAGCAATAGCAACATAGTCAAATAGGGCTCTGGAATTTATATTTTCCTCGAATGTTTCCCTTATATCAGTAACAATGAGGAATGGGAATGAGGAATTTACTATTAACCATGAAAGAGATATATTAGATATATGTAAACCTTGAGAACTGATAAGCAATAGCACAGGAATATTGATAAACACTCGAGTGAAAAATAAGCAGGAAAACTAGTCAACCGTCAACCCTGCCACTTGTCACGTGGTCTGCCTGACATGCCGGGTTTGATATGTCTCCCACACTCACAAATTTCACTAATTACAAATTCTACTCACCTTTTCACCATTCCTGATTGGGTGTGCTAACAAGCCTCACCCTAATCCAGCACTAACCATCTCCAATCATAGTGTATCCAGTCAATATTTCCTTAATTTCCAACAATTTTTCCACTGAGATAGGATCACTTCCGAGGGGGGTATACCACCAAAACAGTAGATATATTTTTGGACTTATTTACACATTATATTACTAATGCACACTTGTTATCACATTGAACAGCCTCTAAACAGCGATACACTATGCAGAATTTAAAGGTCCATCAACCCAGAGCGCGAGAATTGAGCGGAGCGCAGGACGGAGTTGCGGGTAGTGTTGGGCATCACTGGAGCCGCGTCGCACACCCTCCCACCACCACTCATCCAGACAAACTAAATCTTCACTACCTTCAAGTCCAACCAGGGGCGAGTGGAGCGAGTCGAGAGTACACTCAGTTGCCATACACTTCCAGCAGATGGTCATCATTTTGCTCGTTTTCACACTATCTACTACTCGTTATGAGGTAATTGCTAACATACACATACTACAAACCCCTATCATGAAACCGAGACCAAACATTAATCATTCAGTTGCGTCATAGAGGAGATAAATGCCAAAATCAACACGCATGCATAAAACCTTTATATCTCGCAATGTAAACATAAAATAAAAGAGAGAATGACCAAAAACACTTTTACGAATCCCCCGAGCATAGAAATACACACCGAAGCAACAAACACAAGCAGAGAACATTAATTACGGCATAATCGTCCAAGTCTTAAGGTCAGAATTCCATAGGTGGCAACCGGTTCGCACCTGGCATCTCTGGAAGTTGCTGGGAGGGGTAGGGAGCCAGGGCAGCAACCCCCTCCCTCCCCTCGTATGGAATGTGGCTCCCTCCCGGCTACCCGTGGCCTTCTTATTCCATTCCGGTCTCTCTCTCTCTCTTTCTCTCCCCATTTCCCTCTCTCTCTCTCTAAGATTTTCCTTTCCCCCCGATTTTTTTTTTATATTTCTACCTCACGTTTCTGTATTTTTCTTTAAATTCCTTTTATTAAAACCTTTTCTCCTCACATATTAAATAATATTTTATATTATGTTTTCCTTTCAGCATTCTTTCTCTCCTCTCCCGTATGCCAATAATTGTTTCCACAGTATTAAAGACTTTTTCAAGATGCCTTTCCAACAGCTTCGACTTTTTCCAAGGTTAGTGCTGGCAAACTCATCATATGAAAGGGATCATAAAAATGTGCACTTTATTTAAAATGAAGCAACAGTAATTTTGGGTAGAGGGTGACGTTTTGAGAACCAGAATTTATAGGTGCAACCCGTTTGCTAGTATTAAAGATTTATCAGCTACACGTGTATGTGTGCGTGTACTCACCTATATGTGGTTGCAGGGGTCGAATCACAGGTCCTGGCCTCCACTTTTCGCTGATCGCTAAGTCCACTCTCTCTCCCGGCTCCAAGAACCTTATTGTGTCTCTTCTTAAAGCTATGTATGGATTCTGCTTCTACTGCTTCACTCTCCAGATTGTTCTACTTCATGATAACTCTAAGGCTGAAGAAATACTTCCTAACATCCCTAGGACCCATCTGAGCTTTCAATTTCCAGTTGTGTCCCTTTGTTCCAGCGTCCCATCTCTGAAACACACTGTCGCTGTTCACCTTGTCAATTCCGCTCAGTATTTTATACGTCGTTATGAAGCCCCTATCCCCCAGTATCATCAGGCTGAGTACCCTTAAACCTCTCTTGTTGCAAATTTTGGCCTTTCTCTAATTTCTTGAGTATGTGAGTGTATGAGTTTGAATGTGTGTGTGTATATACATACATACAAATATATAATATATATATATATATATATATTATATATATTATTTTATATGTATATATATATATATTATATATATATATTATTATATATATATAAATTATATATATATATATACATATATATATATATATATATATATATTTATATATATATATATATTTATATATATATATATATATATATATATATATATATATATATATACATATATATATATACATATATATATATATATATATATATATATATATATATATATATATATATATATATATATATATATATATAAACATATACCACACTGATATATGTACCTTACTTGTATATACCAGAATACGTACCTCTCGATGGATACATCCTGTATAATGATATAAAAGCAGAACATGCTTCAGATTAAGTTGCTTTATATGGTCCTCTTCCTTGTCCAGAAGTTGGATATAGACAGAGTGCAGGCCATCCAAGAGAGTGGTGCATACTCAAGGTGCAAGATCATTCGCTCTTTGTAAAAAAAAAGATTTGCAGTCTGTACTGTTAATCAAGTATGACATGCACCTTTAACTCTGTGCAGTCTAATTACAAGAGCCAGTACGTGGGTGTGAAGGGTGTATAGAGCAAGAGATGTTTATCTCTAAGGGGATGTCACAGAGTTTACTTTAATACCTGTTTAGGGGATTAAAGTATCCCTGACTGGTGGTGTATGTGATACATGCAGCCTCGTGTAGTCGATAGCTTAAACAAAAATAAAGCACTACCAAGAGCACGGTTTTTCATATGATTATTATTATTATTATTATATTCACGGGGAAGCGCTAAACTCATAGAAGTCTGTATATACAGCATCTGGGGGATGGGAGGTACAGACTCCCCAAATGTTGGGCCACTGCCAAATTGCAAAGAAATTTCTAGTACCATAGGATGAAGAGTAAGAAAACCCCAATTCCACTTACTGTTTCATGTTTCCCTGTGTTTTGATTACCAATTTCAGGCGGCTGGGCACAGAATAAAAAAAATATTTAAAATAAGTCAAGTATATTTTTTGAATCCAGATCATTTTTTTTATCTCGTTTGTCAAGCGTAGCATTGATGATGTGTTTGAGGAGTGGAGAATTTCTTTTATTTCATTCCAACAATTTTCGATGGCATTCAGGACAGGGTTGCTCCCTGGACACTAGATAACACTGATATTGCTCTCTTACAACCATTTCTTGACCAGTTTTGACATGTGGCACGGGACACTATTTTGGATAAAGTGTATGGTGTCATGAATTTTGTGGAATGTGAGGAAATGTTCCTGACGAACTTCTAGTGTATGTACAGTAAATACACCTCAAATATTGGTGCATGCGACCCCACCTCATTGGCGGAGTCTATAATCAAGTTCAATCCCCCTCCCCTAGATTTTTGAGAATATATTTTAAGTGTCCTCCCCTCTCAATCGCCTTTTCCCAAGATAATCTACTTCATTAGCTAACTCTTGTGGGTCGCATCCCAGTCCTACCGGAATATCTTATCCTGTGTACGAAAACAGTTTAGTTTACACAACAAATGAATATTTTCTGCTGGAAATATTCAATTGTTGCGTAAATTTTTTGGATCCGTATACCTAATGATGTTAATTAAAAAAAAAAAACACAGAACACCAAATCTCTTCCATTCATCCTCACGCCCATCCTAGAAATGGCTTCATCATGTCCAGTGGCAACCACCATCTGTTTTCTCGGCAGCAAATGTCACCGAACGGGTCACTGAGTGGTTAGACTAGGGTTAGATGATGCACTTCAGGTGACTTCCCTGACAAATAGCTAAAAACAATAAAGACTGTCACCTGTCATCGCTAGCCCTAGGCAAGTATGATTGAATGTTGGTGAATGGTAAACCTCAATGGAAAGAACATCTCTTTTACGGATAAGAATTTGGAGTCATAGGTATCGTATTCATAGGTAAGATTTAGCCCACTGATGTCAACATCCCGTATCCATGATTCATAGATTTTTTCCGTGGTAGGCTGCCGACGACTGAATATCTATCAGATGTGCCTTGAGAGTGTTGAGTAATCACAAAAGAGGTGTCCGTTCAAAGGACAAGTAGCAGTGAATTGACGACAGCACGCACGCACGCACGCACGCACGCACGCACACTCACTCACTCACGCACGCACGCACGCACGCACACACACAAAATCATAGAGAAGCTTATCAGAAGAGTGGTGGAACACCTAGAAAGGAATGATCTCATCAACAGCAGCCAACATGGTTTCAGGGACGGGAAATCCTGTGTCACAAACCTACTGGAGTTCTATGACATGGTGACAGCAGTAAGACAAGAGAGAGAGGGGTGGGTGGATTGCATATTCTTGGACTGCAAGAAGGCGTTTGACACAGTTCCAAACAAGAGATTGGTGCAAAAACTGGAGGACCAAGCAGGGATAACAGGGAAGGCACTACAATGGATCAGGGAATACTTGTCAAGACGACAGCAGCGAGTCATGGTACGTGACGAGGTGTCAGAGTGGGCACCTGTGACCAGCGGGGTCCCACAGGGGTCAGTCCTAGGACCAGTGCTGTTTCTGGTATTTGTGAACGACATGACGGAAGGAATAGACTCTGAGGTGTCCCTGTTTGCAGATGACGTGAAGCTGATGAGAAGAATTCACTCGATCGAAGACCAGGCAGAACTACAAAGGGATCTGGACAGGCTGCAGATCTGGTCCAGCAATTGGCTCCTGGAGTTCAATCCCACCAAGTGCAAAGTCATGAAGATTGGGGAAGGGCAAAGAAGACCGCAGACGGAGTACAGTCTAGGGGGCCAGACTACAAACCTCACTCAAGGAAAAAGATCTTGGGGTGACTATAACACCAGGCACATCTCCTGAAGCGCACATCAACCAAATAACTGCTGCAGCATATGGGCGCCTAGCAAACCTCAGAACAGCATTCCGACATCTTAATAAGGAATCGTTCAGGACCCTGTACACCGTGTACGTTAGGCCCATATTGGAGTATGCGGCACCAGTTTGGAACCCACACCTAGCCAAGCACGTAAAGAAACTAGAGAAAGTGCAAAGGTTTGCAACAAGACTAGTCCCAGAGCTAAGAGGTATGTCCTACGAGGAGAGGTTAAGGGAAATCAACCTGACGACACTGGAGGACAGGAGAGATAGGGGGGCATGATAACGACATACAAAATACTGAGAGGAATTGACAAGGTGGACAAAGACAGGATGTTCCAGAGATTAGACACAATAACAAGGGGACACAGTTGGAAGTTGAAGACACAGATGAATCACAGGGATGTTAGGAAGTATTTCTTCAGCCACAGAGTAGTCAGTAAGTGGAATAGTTTGGGAAGCGATGTAGTGGAGGCAGGATCCATACATAGCTTTAAGCAGAGGTATGATAAAGCTCACGGTTCAGGGAGAGTGACCTAGTAGCGATCAGTGAAGAGGCGGGGCCAGGAGCTCGGACTTGACCCCTGCAACCTCAACTAGGTGAGTACACACACACACACTAGCAATCAGTGAAGAGGCGGGGCCAGGAGCTATGACTTGACCCC